ATCTATCATAACTAAGTTCAGGTGAACCCCTTAATATCTCTAAAGCACATTCTCTAACCATCCACACCTTATAGAAATTTATATCTATGTCAAACTCCCGACGAATATCATTTTGAATGTTCAAAGGTTTGTATACAATGTTGGATCCTCAAACTTTAACTTGATGTGTTTTTCAATCATCCATCAACTAGCTTGTCTAAGATCTTTATGGCAAACATCTAGAGAAAAAACAACCAATATCAAATTCATCATTTTCCTTCAACTGTGTTGCTCGCAAATGCCATTTACAAATTTCCTTAACACAAACTACTACATGTACTCTTATTTGACTTAGTGACCTTAAATTCAAAAGAGTTTCTTAAAGCAAGCATTTGAAGTGAAGTCTAAAAATCTTTCATTGTTAGGAAAATTTGGCTAATGTGTACATCATCGACATCAAGAATCTTAGTTGAAGTTCCACAGGAATTCAGACAAACAACTTGTGAAATGTTAATAATCTCATATATCAATGCAACAGTGTATTATAAAGTAACATTGCTTTCATTCATCACATGAGAATCATCTTCATGGTTGTTTCACCTCATCCCAATAATTATCACTCGTAAAGTTCACACAATCATTTTCACAATTTTAATTAAATGGAGACAACGGTTGAATATAACTGTCACTAAACTTATCTTTCCGCAAATTGCATTCGTCTATATTTTCGGCACTATCTACAACAACTTTAGAACGATTGTCCTAAATATTTACTATGTTAAGGTACATGTCTTTTGCTGTGTCAAGTACAAAAAATTTCATCTCGTTTTCATACATAGCAAAACAACCTGGATCGCTTTTGTGACTTCCTCATACAATTCCATATATAAAATATTTCGACACAAAAACATTTATTGTAATGACTTGATAATTCCCTATCAATTTCTAAATCCATCCACTTTGATCATTCTATTCGAATTCAACAAAATAACAAATGACAATCATTGCACCAAAGTTCATGTGTACAATTCACCAAATAATATGTAATAAATTATTTCATTAATTATCAAAACCGACTACTATTAAATACGACTTCAATAATAAACGAAAAACAACCAATATTGTTACATAACATATTTAAAGTAGATAAAAACAGCATTATGTAGTTTAAAATGTGTATTCGCTATTTAAGTATATTTAAAATAATATAATACCATAAAGAATCGAGAAATGACTAACTTGCAAACAACTATATCAATGCCACCATTATCAAATTACAAAAAAAAAATAAAAAACAAAAAATGCACATTCCATTTCTATATTTCATAGCAAATATTGCTTAACCAATTGATTTTTCATAATATAAAACTAGAAAATAATAAGAAATCTTTAATTTTTAAATTATAAAACATACCTTCAATTGTTTGAAATCGATTTTTACTCGTCCACTACCAAAATTTGCGGTGTTTGATTTGTCCTCGATTTAAATAAAGAAACTTCAAAATACAAATCATGTATCTAAAGAAGAAGAAAATTGAATTTGAAACAAGGTCTAATATGGCAAAAGTAGATTTGAAAACGTTGGAATGAAGAAGGTAATAGGAATTTATGTTTGGAGTTGTATATGAACAAATAACCTATAGGCTCCTTGAACAATAAGTATTAATATAAACTATTTTACCAAACATTATAGTTGACTAGGATTGGGACTCTTTGTTAAAACACCTGGTCAAACAAAATAATTGGAAAAAAG